AAGGGTGATGCTATTATTACTCCCACTTTATAGATGAGGAAACCAAGGCCCAGAGACATGCAGGGGCTTACCCAAGGCACCCAACTAGCAGATGACAGAGTTGGGTTTCAAAACCATCCAGTCTGACCCTCTGGCCAGGGAGCCTAATGACGGCCCCAGTCTGAACTGGTCACCAGTTTCGGGGTGCCCCATGCTCCTTCCAGTGCTGCCTTTGCTCATGCTGAGTCCTCACCTGGAGGGCTTTCCTTTCTACCATCCACCTCTCTAAAACCTTGTCTGTCCTTCGAGCTCTGGTTCATGGGTCACTTCCTCCGCGAAGCCCTTTCTAGCTTCCCCAGAAACAGTCAGTGTCTCACCCTTTGACTTTACAGCTGAGAACTCTGTGTTGAGATTATCTGGGGACCTTTCTTCTCTACTGGACTGTGCTCCCCCGCCCCCAGTGGCAGAGATTGTGCTGTATCTCCCTCTAGTGTCTCACACGTGCCTGGCACAGAGTGGGTACACTGTAAATGTTTGGTGGCTGAATGACAACACATAGTTGGGAAAGATGGCTAGGAGTTGCCAGTGGAAGTTGCAGGGTTCCACAAGTTGCAGGGAGAGGGATCCATCTAGGATCAGCTGGAGATGATTTTACCATTCATTCTTGGGTCAAGAATGTCCCCAGGGGATCCAGCTGATGGGGAAGTTCCACACTTGCACTACCCCTGGAGGTCCTGGGGAACCAGCTGTCCCACCCCAGGGGTTTTCCCTTCTTGTGATGCCAGGAACTGAAGCATGAGAGGAAGCAGCCCTAGCAGGATCTCTGGACGCTACGGGAGGAAGCGTGGCTGAAGTCTCCATGCTCAGAACCTGGGCTGCCCAGCCAGGGCCCTCTGACCCTAGAAGTTAAGGGGTTACATGACTTTGGTAAGAGAGTAGTTCCGCGGTGGGTGGGGACTTCCTTGGGGTGTGAGGGAAATTGCCCCATCCTCACAGCTGTGGGGTAAGAGCCGTCCTCATGCCTCTCAGCAGCCCTGTCATTGTGCTCTGGTTAGGACTGGGAGCAGTTTCTGTGCTTGGTTCTCTAGCAAAGCTCCAAGACCTTTAAGAGGGCCCTGTATCTTTGTCCCCTGTCCCTACCCAACCAACTTCCCCCTCCACGACTGCTGCACTCAGGAACTTATTAAGGCTCCCTATGGCCTCAGGTCCAAATGCCACAGTCTTCAACCACTACATCCCAAAGGCTCTGAGTCAGGATGGTAAAGAAGCTGGGTGGATGGTGTCTGGATTGGCTGCATATGAGTCCAAATCCCAGCTCACTGCGTGACCTGGGTCATTCACTTTACCTCTTGGGCTCCAGTTCCTTCATCCAAAACATTAGGATTAATAAATTTGACAAAATCAAAATTAAGGAATTCGTTGGACAGAACAAGTTTCTTCCATAGGAGGCACCATAGACCAGTGATTCTCCAATTGTGGTCCCTGGACCATCAGCATCACCTGGGTACTTGTTAGAAAGGCAAATTCTCAGACCCTTCACCTGCTCTATTGAGTCAGAAACTCTGGGGATGGGGCTCAGATATGTGTGTGTTTTTTTGCTTTTGATTTGGAGTCTCACTCTGTAACCCAGGCTGGAGTGCAGTGTCATGCTCATGGCCACCGCAACCTCGACTTGCTGGGCTCAGGCGATCCTTCCGACTCAGCCTTCCAAGTAGCTGGAACTACAGGCATGTGCTACCATGCCTGGCTTATTTTTTGATGTACTGTAGAGATGAGGTCTCACCAAGTTGCCCAGGCTAGTCTCAAACCCCTGAGCTCAGGCATTCCTCTCGCCTCGGCCTCCCAAAGTGCTGGGATTACAGGTTTGAGCCACCGTGCCCGGCCAGATATGTGGTTTTAGTAAGGCTTCCAGGAGGTAAGGCTTCCAGGAGGTCCTAGACTTCATGCTGAAGTTTGAAAGCCACTGCCATAGATAAACTTAACAGATGGGCAGTATATTAGGCGAAAACATTTGGAATACCAACAGCCAAAAGGCATTACTATCTAAATGTGTAAGCTACTCTTGTAAATTTTTTTTTTTTTTTTTTGAGTAGGAGTCTCACTCTGTTGCCCAGACTGGAGTGCAGTGGCCGCTCCTGGCCACCGCAGCCTCGACCTGCTGGGCTCCGGCGATCCTTCCGCCTCAGCCTTCCAAGTAGCTGGAACTACAGGTGCGCGCTACCACACCCGGCTAATTTTTTGACTTATTGTAGAGATGAGGTCTCACCAAGTTGCCCAGATAGGTCTCGAACCCACGGGCTCAGGCAGTTCATTCACCTCAGCCTCCCAAGGTGCGGGATTATAGGCTGAGCCACCGAGCCCGGCTTACTCTTGTAAATTAACAAGAAAAAGATAGGAAGCCCATGAGAAAAATGAACAAAAGATATGAACAAGCAATTCACAGAAGGGAAAACTCAAATGACTAACAGGTATAGAAGAGAGTTCCAAATGAACAGGAAAAGGCAAGTTAAAGCAACAATGAGATGTCACTTTACACCCAAACTGAGTGGCAGACAGAAGTTACAAAGTCAGGTAATGTAAAGCCTGATTAGGGCATGGAGACACAGCATCCTCCACATGCTGCTGGTAAAGTCATACGGGAAGAATCTAGTGAAAACGAAAACATACATACCTGGCAATCTAATAATTCCACTCTTGGGTACAGAGCCCAAAGACATCTTCACTTAGACCCTTGTACACAAGGGTCGTGTACAAAGATGTTTGTCACCATGTTGTTTGTGGTAAGAAGGAGGCGGAGGCAGCCTGGTGTTCATCTCCAGGAAGACGAAGAAGTAGAACAGTGGATGCTCAGCTAGAAAGATTTTGCAGCAGCTGGACACAATAGCTGCATTTTCCCACTGATCTCAGAAATACCATGAAGTGAAAAAGGGGAAGCAGTAGAGATTCTCCCACAGTACTGTGGTGTAGCATCAATACACACATAGCATTGTGTAGTTTACATCCAGGGACACACATCAGCATGTAGTGGAAGGTGCTCGTGGTGGGGAGGGGGAAGGGGTGTTGGGGAACATGTGGGCCGGTGTGGGGAGGGATAAAATCAAAGAAAGGGCCTTGCATGGGCCAATGGTGGTGAGGTGATCGTTTGCTACAAACTATGAATCATGGAACTCTCTGGACCTGAAGTCCTAACAATATTATTTGAAAACTGATAATGGTACTTCTCTCATGATAAGTACCACGTGTCTGGCCATGGAAGGCTTTGCAACATTTCACAGACGAACCTTAGCTCTTCTCCTTGAGTCTCTGGCCTTGCTCCCTGTGGCCTCCCAGGCTCTGGCGGTGCCGAGTGCTGGTCTTACCCCCACCTTCTCCATCTCTTCCACCCTGCCTTCCAGCCGTGACTACCCCAGGCCCTCCGATGGGGTGTGTGATGGCGATGTGTGGGTGTTTGTCATGTGGGACTTGGCCAGAGTCAGGCTGAAACAGAGTTGCGAGGAGCGAGTTCTGTGTCTTCCTCCCCAACTGGGAGCTCCTCCTGAGGGTCTTCTTAACATCTCACCCCACCTTAGTTCCCATCCCATCACACCCGGGCAAGACAGGTAAACTGAGTCACAAGGTGTTTGATGTGGAAGGGAACAGCATTTATTGAGTGCCTATCGGGTGCTAAACCCAGCACAAAGGTCTCGACCTTAACAATCCCCATGACTCCCTGTGAGGTAGACGAGGCCGATCTCACTGGCAGACAAAGCAGCAGGAGGCACAGAGGCCAGGACACTGACCAGACAGGCGCCGCCGGGCTCCAGACCCAAGATCTCAAATCCAATGCTGGCTCCAAACCCTAGATCTGAACAAGCAACTTGCCCAGGGTCTTGGGACCCGAAACCCGACCCAGACCACCCACCTAAGTCACCCCTCAGTGGAGGAAACATCCTGCAATGGGGTGGAGGGAAGACACTGCTATTGAGGGCCTTAGAAAGGCCTCCTACACCAGGCGGTATGGTCAGCTTGAGGTGACACAGGGAGAATCAGAAGGTTCCCTCAATTCCCTTTCCGTCTTCGTGAACCTCGGTTTTCTGAACTGGAAGACAGCAGGTGCCTGGTTCTGGAAGATTTTTTTCTCAGTCTGCCAGCAGGCGGAGCCCGTCCTCATCCCTTGCTCGGCCTCCAGAAGGCTGCAGTCTCGGGAAGGAGGGTGCGTCCTGGGCAGAGTCCTTGGGTTAGCGGGACAGAGTAGGATCCCTGCCCATCTCCCAGCTCGCAGGGAGGCCTGGGTGCCCCGGCCGACGGCCTGGACTTCCGGGTCCGGCTGGCCCGCCCCTGCGGGACATTCTCGGTACTGCAAGCACCCGGGCCCTGATCGTGGGAACGGAGTGAAGACGCCCGGCCGGGTGGGGGGCGCCCTAGGCACGGGGCCCCGCAGGACAGAGTATGATGCAGAGCTGGGCGGCGGGCCAGCCCTTCCACGCCTCCGCA